CATCACTACGTGGGCTTTTCTGTAGTTGTGGTGAGTGGGGACTGTCTCACTGCAGTACCTTCCCCTGTTGTGAAGCACAGGCTTCAGTAGCTGGAGCACGTGGGCTCAGTAGTTCTGTCTCCCAGGTTCTAGCGCACTGGCTCCATAGGTCTGGCACCTGGGCTAAGTTGCTCTGAGGCATGTGGGATCTTCCCGGATCAGGGATCAAACCCGTGTCTCCTGAATTGAATTGGCAGGTGGATTCTTTACCACTGAGCCACCAGGGAATCCCTGTCTTTATTTTCTTTTTGAAATTATTTTCCAAAGATCATTTCCCTGGTAATAAATTGTAATAAATTATAAGATTGCTGAGTTTAACTTTTTTAAACTCTTCATTGCCATGAAATTTTGTTCTGACTTACATTGTCACTGGTAACATCAAAGTGCGCCAGTGTCACCTCAGTTTTGTTAAATGTTAGTTATTCTTTTGCTATTCAATAAATATAAGTCCATACTTTCAAGTAATTTTAATTTTTTTAGTTCTAATTAGGTTGAAATGTTTTCTGGCATTTTTTGCTACTGGTGGTCTTTGTTGACTGACTTATTTGTATATTTATATTTTTAAGTTCATATCTTCAAATAATTTTAATTTTTTTAGGTCTAAATTAGGTTGAAAAGCTTTCCGTCATTTTTTGCTACTGGTGGTCTTTTTTGACTGACTTATTGGTGTGTTTATATTTTGGATTGTGATCTGTTCAAATAGGTTTCCTTATACATTGTAAATATTAAGCTTTTTTTATAGCTTCCAACCTTTTCCTGATCAGCATTTTCCTTTGCTTTATAATTGACCATTTCAGGTACTAACATTTTCTGCATTCATGACCAAGGCTGTCCGCTGTCTCCTTTATAATTTCTCCTAATGACCAAATATCAAGCCCTTATCATTTCCTCCACTGACGAAACAAATATTTTCTGTTAGGTTTTGATGGTTTGGTCTTATTTTGGTCTCTGGACATAATATAGCTCCTTGTTTGTGAAACTAATGACTGCCTTGAAAGAGAACAGGTCATGGCCTGCAGAGTAGGTCTCAAGGGCTGAAGGGTGGAAAACAGTGGCTGGAATTCAGAACTCAGAGACCTCCAGGCTGGACAAAAAGATGGTGAAACTTGTTCCCAAGTCACCAGTTTGTAAGGGATTTCTTTTTCTGTTTCATGATGTGATCATTTCCTGTTGTCTTGGGAAGCACCCATATTGTCTCAATTGTGCGAAATATGCTAGTAGTGCAAGGGGAGACACGGGGGTGAGTCTGAGTCCAGTGGTGACTAGTCACATGCCTAGGCTCCAGCTGGGGGACAGGGAGGGCACTGTTCTCCACATCCAGTCACACAGATTCCTCGGCGAGCTTTTATAAACTCTCTGAGGCCTGGGTTCCAGCCTGTCCTGGTATTGAGAGTTTTTTTAAGCACTCCCCAGGTGAGTCTTAAGGTGCAGCCATGGTTGAAAACCATTGTAATCATTTCATCAGGCAATGCCAAAGAAATCTAATCTGTAAGAGCAGAAGACCAAGAGAAGGAACTAGAAACTCCCGGTTCTTTTTTTCACAAACACCTGCTTCTTGATGGCAACATTTATGGTGGGACTGGAAAAATGGTCTTTGGACGTAGCAGAAGTTTCCAGAATGCTCTCTTTATACCTCTCTCTCTTTAGTCTGTAAGGCCCAAGTGGTTCTGTCCAAAAGCTAATGAATACAGTTTCCAAAATATGGGGGAACAGAGTATTTGAAAGTAGATCTTGAACCTGCTAATTAATAGAAGACGGAGCAGGTGGGAGAGACAGAAGGTTGTGTTTCCAGCCTCTTCTCCTCCCAGCACAGACGGGACGTGCAGGGGGCAGGCCTTCAAGACACGGGAGGCGCAGCCGCCGGCAGCGGGGCGTGGGGAGCACCTCACTCTGCTGGGGCGTGGCCTTAAAGACGGGGGTTTTCAGATCTGCTCATGTGAGCTCCTGTTCCCATGACCACATTCCCCAGCCGTCAGGGCAGGGGACCAGCGGTGTCGTCGAATGGCTCCAAACCAGCTGTGGATGGAATATCAGCCCCCTGCTGCCAATCTAGGGCATCAGGTCAGGCAGGGTTTTAATCCTCTAGGAATCATGACAAAGACATTTAATGTGCTCTAAACCTCACTCGAAAGAGTATGTATCTCAAGATACTTACGAATCAGAATGATAACATTCCCCCCCACTTCTGTGGCTTTGAAATAAGGGGGAAATTTTTTAACTCAGCCCTTGCTTCAACACATGCCAGTAAAGATTATTTCCTATTAGCTTGCTCTGACCAAACTTGCAAAAAGGAAAACTTTTTTTTTTTAAAGACCAAGCGCTTAATTTATGCCTTGAATAATCAAGTTGTAAGTGGTGTGATGAAATTCCCTAATGAGATGCCTTGGATACAGTGACGCCCACCCTCTGCCCAGCCTGTCCCTAATCAAGACAGAGAGATGCAGGTCTCACCGGGTGCAGGATGGGGGTGGAGAAGGCTGTCAGAGATATTCCCAGTTCCGCTTGCATCCGTTGTGAACCTTATAGTCTCACTCTCTACTTCTGTGTTTATTGTGACAGCACTACCTGCTTTAAAAGTTTCCCATTAACCTCATAATAATGAAAGGACCCTGACTTTTATACCATTTGACTCTCTGGGGGCTTCCCTGGGGGCTCAGTTGGTAAAGAATCTGCCTGCAATGCCGAAGACTTGCAAAGATCTTTATTCCAAATGAGGTCACATGCTAATGTTCTGAGTGAACATGAATTTGGGAGCAAGACATTCCACCCACTACCCCCAATTAAGAGCAGGTTGGGATCAAACTGAAAGAAGAAATGTGGAAAGTTCCTGGAAGGATGTTGTTTAATTTCGGGCATGAAGTTTGTGTGCTAAGAGGGCTGTGCTTATGTGGGTTAATAGGTCAACCAAGCCAACTGGGCCGGCTGCCCTCAAGGTGTCAGAACCAGCCATCGACACAGAGTCAATGGGCGCCTTCTTGTTAAAAGGGTGGCCTCTTCCACGGAGAGATGCTGAGGGTCCCCCAGCCAGTGGGACAGGCTGTGCCCCCGAGCTCTCCTGAATTTTTCCTGCCTCCACCGCCCCTCTGTGTGAGTCCTGACACTGCTGATGCAATGCAGAGGGCAAGAGTTGGACCATAAAGAAGGCTGAGTGCCAAAGAATTGATGCTTTCAAACTGTGGGGCTGGAGAAGACTCCTGAGAGTCCCTTGCACCGCAAGGAGGTCAAACCAGTCCATCCTAAAGGAAATCAACCCTGAATATTCATTGGAAGGACTGTTTCTGAAGCTGAAGCTCCAATGGACAGGGAGGCCCAGCATGCTGCAGTCCATGGGGTCACAAAAAGTCAGACACGACTTAAAGACTGAACAACAACAGCTCCACTGACCACTGCTGAGGGCTCGAATGAAGCACTTACCTTCTTGTAGCCTCGATTGCAGTATCTAAAAATCAGGTTTATCATCACCAACTTGTCCAGTTGCTGTAAATAAGAAAACTAACACGTGCAGGAATTTTGTCTAAGTGTCTGGCATACGTTTCAGCAAGTGGTTGTTATTATGATCATTATTGTGAGGTCACGGTTCTGGAGAACCCCCATAGGAAGAAGCCTGGGGGCCAGAAGGCCAGAGGGACCATGAACAAGCTGTGAAGACTCATCTGCATCCTTCCCCCCAACTCCGCTCCTGGCACACAATAAACCAAGTAAACACACAGTGAATCACTGAATTGAATGATGCACCAGCTGAGTTCCAGATGTGAGCACTGCTCCAGTAAACGGGCCTGGTACAGCCATTCAGAACTTACAGCCTGATCTGGATGGCCCATGGCGAAGTCTCCTTTTTCTATGATGCAGCAGATGATCACTGAGCAGAGAAGGTGACAGAAAGCAGTTTTAGTCCCTTGGTGGTGGTGTTCGGTCACTCAGTCGTGTCTGACTCTTTGAGACCCCATGGACTGCAGCACACCAGGCTTCCTGTCTTTCACTACCTCCCGGAGTTTGCTCAAACTTATGCCCATTGAGTCAGTGATGCCATCCAACCATCTCATCCTCTGTCGTCCGTACTCCTCCCGCCTTCAATCTTTTCCAGCATCAGGGTCTTTTCCAAGGAGTCAGCTCTTCGCATCAGGTGGCCAAAGTATTGGAGCTTCAACTTCAGCATCAGTTCTTCCAATGAATATCCAGGGTTGATTTCCCTTTGGATTGACTGGCTTGATCTTGATGTCCAAGGGACTATTCTTTATTAATTTCATAAGCCCTGACTGATTGGTGTTTATTGTAACCCTGCTTCCTTTTCCAAACTTTGCAATTAAGCCGAAAGTTGTTTTGCCCAGTTTCTGAGGCACGGACTTTCCTATCCTGTCTGAGAACCTGCCCTCAGCTTCAGTCGTGCTGTTGTCAGCTAGCTCTGTCCTGAGCTGTCCATGTTGAGTAACTGACAGGGAGACAGCGTTCTCGGAGCCAGACGCTCAGCACCCTCGTTCAGGGTGTGGGGCTCCTGGGGTCACGGTGTGGGCGTCAGCCTCCGTCTAGTTGCCAGTTCATTAAATGTCCAAAACCTGCTTTCCTAACTCCAAACAGCTGCTTTTTGAACTCTGGCTATTAGTTTCAAAAGAACTAAGCAAAAGAGCAATATGGTTGAGCACAGATCCATCACCACTGCTGGGAAGGAAGTATGTCGACGGCCCCATGTCCTCTGGCACAGTTCAGAAGGGTAGTCATGTCAAGTTACGTGAAATGGGTGGGCTTGCAGAAAAAGGAGAAAGGATAATATTGGGGAAAGCAACTGGCAACCTCACACGTATGGATTTACAAGCTGAGTCTGTGAGGCCCCCATCCCTATGGAAGCCCAATTGGGGAACGAGTTTTAAATCACCACTGTAATATTGTAAAGTAATTAGCCTCCAACTAATAAAAATAAAAAATCACCACTGTGCTGTCATCTGACTGGCCCTTTTCTCCTGCAGCTGACACAGCGCTTGGCACCGATGACGTGTATGATGACAAAGGATGCCAGTGTGACGTGTCCGTGGAGGACCTCACGCCACCGCTGAAAACCGTCATTCGGGCAATCAGGTTGGTGACAACGTTTCACAAAATGATTCCAAGACCTCCCGCTCATTGTTTCAATCACTGTGTTGCTAAGTTCTCTTTCTTGCCGGTGAAAGTGAAAGCGAAAGTCCCTCAGTCATGTCTGACTCTTTGAGACCCCATGGACTATACAGTCCATGGAATTCTCCAGGCCAGAATACTGGAGTGGGTAGCCTTTCCCTTCTCCAGGGGATCTCCCCAACCCAGGAATCGAACCCAGGTCTCCCACATTACAGACAGCTTCTTTACCAGCTGAGGCACCAGGGAATCTCCCAGAATAATTTCTTTCTTTGTTTCTTCCTATTCATCCACATGCCTATTAAATTGTGAGATATTTTTTCTTAATACAGAACTTGACTGTGTTCAGCATGAGATGTGTTATAAGTGGCGAGTGGAATTGGAAAAGCCAGGCTGGGTTCCAGATAGATCGCATGAGAATCGGCTGATCGTGTGAATCTGTTGCTTTGGTGTATAGATACAGCTGAATGTTTTAACTTATTTTTATGATTGATGCTTCAATCCCTATTCTGTACTTTGTGTCAAAGAAGAGTCCCTCTTTGTTATTTCAAAGCAGGTTGAGTTCTGAACATAGGGAGCCTGAGTGCTTTCAGGGAGCTGCAACTGTCCTGCCGAAATTTATTTGTAAAGTCTGACCATGATACACATTCTCTCCTGATGGTGGAAAATTGAGAGTGTGTCCAAAGCAACTTGTATCTCCAGAATTCATTCCCACAAACAATCCAGGATCCATACTAAATGAGCTGCTGCTGTTCTGCCCACCGAGTTCAGTCCCTTTGAGAGAATGTGTATCTGTCACGGATGCCGAATGGCTGGCTGGCTGCAAAAAATGAACGCCTCTGCTCTCTTTGGCTTCTCCTGCCTCTTGCCAGGAAGCCTGGGGAGGGCTGAAACTATCCAGCCCAGTGTTGCCACCCAGGTACTTGGTCTGAGCTCAGACATCAGTGCAATTGATTTTGCATTGCCGGTTTGAGCATCTTGTTAGTCTCTGTACTCTGTGGTCAAGTTTGTCTTGGAGAGTAGAGGTGAGTTATAAAGATTTGGGTATTAGTAAATGTTTGCAGGGACAAAAAACTGTGATATGATGAAAATGTTTGTCCAGAAGGTGCTTAAATTTTACCTGTAGCAACAGCCCACACAGAAGTGAAACTAAGCCTGGCACTTCCCTCCAGAACCTGCAAGCAACTCCCCAGTGGTAGGGCACCTGTGTGTCCTGGGCCTCTTGTTTCTTCATGACCATTCCTGACTTTCCTTGTCTTTCTCAGAGGCCCCTAGTTTGGGCGGTTACATGCTCACCCTGCCTCCTGGGATCCCAGAAACCTTGGGTAATATTTAACCCAGAAAACCCCAGGATATATAATAAATGCTATCTGCAGCCTCCAATAGATGGATGGAAAGGATCTTTCCTGCACTGCCCATCACTGTAGGCACCAGTCACATGAGGTAATTCACATTTGAATTAATTACAATGGAATAAGGAGCTTCCCAGGGGGCACCAGGGGAAAAGAAACTGCCTGCCAAAACAGAAAAAGAGACTCCTATGTATAGAACAGACTTGTGGACTCTGGGAGAAGGCGAGGGTGGGATGTTTCAAGAGAACAGCATCGAAACACGTATATTATCTAGGGTGAAACAGTTCACCAGCCCAGGTTGGGTGCATGAGACAAGTGCTCGGGCCTGGTGCACTGGGAAGACCCAGAGGGATTGGGTGGAGAGGGAGGTGGGAGGGGGGACTGGGATGGGGAATACATGTAAAATAAATAAATAAATAAATAAATAAAAATAAAATAAAAAAATAAATTTAAAAAAAAAAAAAAGAAACTGCCTGCCAATGCAGGAGACACAAGAGACACGAGTTCAAGCCCTGGGTTGGGAAGACCCCCGAAGTAGGAAATGGCAGCCCACTCCAGTACTCTTGCCTGGAAAATTCCAAAGACAGGGGAGCCTGGTGGGCTACAGTCCACAGGGCTGCAAAAGGAGCCGGAAGTGACTAAGCCCGTGATATGACACAACAGCGGGATAAAATGCAAAACTGAGTTCATCAGTGGTGTGGCCAACACATAAGTGCGCAGGGTCCATGTGCTGCCATGGCTCCCACGCTGGGCAGAGACACAGTGCATGTCCATCACTGCGGGACGTTCTTCTCCAGGACTTGCTGGCCTACAAGTGACCTTGAAATTCTTTCCATCCATCATGACAGCCATCAGATACCCTTGGTCTAATTTGCAACAGACACAGTAAAATCTTATCTCCAGGGAGCAGATTGAGTTTTCTAAAAGTCATACTTAACCCAATTTGTGCCATTTCCCTAGACCTTCCGAAGCTTTTTGCTTTTGCCTTACAACCTGCACAAAGAATCTTGAGCTGTGAGGGAAAAAAAAAAAAAAAAAAAGATGAAATGGGTTTATTCTGCCAACTCAGCACCTTAGCAGCAGCTTGCAACTTATTTTGTTCTACCTTGCTCTTGCAACCTGACTGATTTTTGAAAAGTTATTTGAAGAATTCCCTTGCTTTTCAGAATTCATTCTTGGTTCTTATTTTTAACAGGACTTTATTATTTACACATCTTTCCTTTCTGTGGATTTCAAAAGCTCTCTGCTTGCTACTTCATAACTCTTCATGTGGTGTTTTTCTTCCCTGTTTCCCAATTCTGCTTAGTGGGTTTTTTTCTTTAATCACTTCTGAGTTCCATTTAAAATTGTTTGCTTCTATAGAAACATAATAGCTACACTCAATAACTTAATTGGAAATCTTTGACTTATGATAGAACTTTTAATATCTAAGAATTAAAGAACTAACCAATGCAGTCAGCAGTTCTGAAAAGGAGTCTGCAAGTAAAAGTTCCTAAATCATATGCAAAAGTGTCCTTTTCCTGAGCTTAATTATATAACAAACTGAACATCAATTGACTGGAATGTTTTTGCTAGAACACGCCTACCACCCACAGCTCACCTGAAATAGGATTTTATATGTATGTTACTGACTGCAAGTGCGAACCATCTATTATTCATCTCAGAAATGGCGACTCTGTTTTTGGCATTTTCCTTGTTTTCTTTTGGTTGTTTGATTACTTAACATAACAACTTGAACATGCCCTTTGTTTTCCAGTAGCTCTAATAATAATAGTTTTCCTAAGAGACAAATTAAAATTAAAATGTGTAACAAAAAATATGTATTCCACTGCAAGGATGACAGCATGTAAAATAGTATGATTACATTCACAAAGAGTTAAGTAGGAATTCTTATTTTCAGTTATTAGTATTTATTAAGTCTCTGACATTTTCTAGTTATTTTTTAAAATAAACATTCTCAGGCAATAAGATGATTAAGGTCACTCTCCAAATTCATCTGGATTACATTCCTGATGAATCTGAGATTCTTTATGTCTCATCACAGCAAGAATTCAGTGTGAGACAAAGTGATAGCTAAGAAAGTGAAGTCGTTCAGTCGTGTCTGACTCTTTGTGACCCCATGGACTGTAGCCTACCAGACTCCTCTGTCCATGGGATTTTCTAGGCAAGAATACTGGAGTGGGTTGACATTTCCTTCTCCAGGGGATCTTCCCAACCCAGGGGTCGAACCCAGGTCTCCTGCATTGCAAGCAGACGCTTTACCATCTGAGCTACCAGGGAAGTCTAGGTAAGAAAGGTAAGAAACTGACTTATTTAGCGAGAACCACAGTGCACAAATAGAGGGTCGGCCATCTCAAAAGGGGAGAGGCCCTGAAATATGGGGTGGTTAGCTTTAATGAGCTGAGTAATTTCATAGGCTCATGAGCAGGAGCCTATGGGCTATTTATTCCAACTGTTTTGGGGAAGGGGCAGAGATTTCCAGGAATTGGGCCACCATGCACATTTTGCTCTTTGATGGTCGACCTCAGAACTCTTGTGGTGCCTGGGGTGTGTCACTTAGCTAATATATTACAGTAAGCGTATAGTAAGGCTTTAAGTCCTCTGAAAGTCGAATCTTCCACCATATTGGACCCAGTTGGTTCTAACCAGTTTTAGTCAAGCGCTATGGCCATAGCTTCCCTGGTGGCTCAGATGGTAAAGAATCTGCCTGCGATGCAGGAGACCCAGGTTCTATCCCTGGGTTGGGAAGATCCCCTGGAGAAGGAAATGACCACCCACTTCAGTATTCTTGCCCGGAGAATCCCACGGACAGAGGAGCTTGATGGGCTACAGTCCGTGGGATTGCAAAGAGTTGGACACGACTCAGTGACTAACACTTTAGAAAGAATGGTCATGTCATTCTTTTAAAGGTCATGCCCTGCCTCTTTTCTCCTGTTTCAATTCCATTACCTAAATGCACTTGGAGACTTTTTTCTTTAATGAATGACATCATTTTTTACAGTAGTGAACAGCAGCTATTCTTAGACATTTCCAAGCTATACCTTAAAAGACAGAAAAATACTTTGTTTAGTTCCTCCAGGCTTGCCACAGAGTTTTTTCAAAATATTTTTAGTTGGAGTGCATGAGGTTGTTGGAAATGTGTTTTCAAACTCATCTCTGGGAGGGAAGACTGAACTTATTTTTAACAAAAGTTCTGTATCTTGTTAATGATTTTAATTCAAACACTGTTAAGTTTCTTTGCATCCACTCATATAAATTAATTTCCAAATAGAAAAATGAAATTAGCAGGGAAGTAAACAGATGACAAGAAAATTGATAAACTCTTGAAAATACTACACACTCCCTTCTCATTGTACAGTTGACCCTTGATCATTGCAGAGTCAGGGGTGCCAACTCCCTATGTAGTTGAAAATCTACATGTAACTTACATGATGTCCCACAAACTTAACTACCAATAGCCTGCTCTTCACCAGAAGGCTTCCCTATCTATAACATAAACAGTCAATTAACACATATTTTGTACATGTAACATATACAGTATTTTTACCAAAAATCCAGCTAGAGAAAAGAAAATGTTATTAAGAAAATCACAAAGAAGAGGGAATACATTTACAG